ATTTTATTTTTTAAAACTAAAAGTTCTGGCTTTGAATGGATCGATAAGTTTGGAGAGAGAGAGAGAGAGAGAGAGAGAGAATCAAAAGGTATTTTCAACGCTTATGTCAATAAATCATTGTCAGTCTATTCATAATCTAACTATAATTTAAGTAGTTTTTATATTTTAAGTTAATATTAATTACTTTCGTCCTTTATAATAATTACCTTTTGTTTTGCTAAAATGTTACTCTAATTAATGATAATGTTTAAGTTATTTTTATAATAACATGTAATGAGAATTACTGTATGTTTTCGTTAAATTATTTAAAAATTTTATGATCGCTTTTAATGATCACTATTTATCATTCCGTTTCTAACATTCAGTAATGTTTGACAATTGTGTAAAATTATTCACAGAGAAAGTGTTGTCTCGTAATTGAATTGAATGACAAAATAGCATACATTGGGAAGCAATTGATTTACATTAATGTCAGCGCCAGAAGTTAAACAAAAAAAAATTGTGGTAAAAACACACAAATTCAAGGAATATTGTGTCAGTAAATGGAGTGAAGAGTGAATTTAATTTAAAAATTCAAAATTGAATTAAATTAACAAAATTGAATCTAAAAACGTAAAGAATTTTAAGCAAAACTTAATAGAAATGCCACATTTCCCATAAAATTTTACAAATTCCTTATCAAAAGCAAAATAAATAAAACAAACGGATTACAAAAACAATTATATTTTTTGTAAAGTAAATGATTGTCCGGCAAAAGAAAATAATTGTTATTTTCATACAAAGTGAACGGTAGTGTAATAGCCATCGAAATGGTTTGTCTATTGTTTTTTTGTGTATTTTATTTCGTTGGCCGCGCCGTCAGCTCCGATAGATTAAGACATGGATTGCGTTGAAGTCATTATAACGAGAGACGAGAATCCCATAAACAATGTAACGCATAAATGCCTTTCCACTCAATCACTACTCTTTTTTGGTATTTTATTTTTTGCTGTTTTGCTAATACTTTATTCACGGATAGGAGAAAATACAGAAAGTAGAGGCCCTAAAAGTGAAGCCCTGATAAGAGTTATATAATATTACTTCAAATCTATTATTCAAAGTAATAAAATTGATTTAAAATGCATAGAATTGATGGCAGAAATCGTTTTATGGGAATAATATATACGAGAATTTGTATATTTATACACATTTTTGTTGTTATCTGTCAGACAAAAAAGTTGTTCACAGGATTTGACTGAAATGAACGATCGATTCGTGTAATACTTTTTTTATCGCAAATATTACAATAATTTAATGAATTCGTTTCGTTTCGCCTATCGTTTCAATTGTTCGCTAATATATTTTGATTGCATTTCCGAAAGAGAATTGAATAAAACTAAAGGAAATTAAGAATTTATTGTTTGTCATCAATTCGATGTCAATTTGATGTATCGTATGAACCAGTTTTTCATACCATATATTCTAGTGTTTTAGTCAAGTATATCAAAAGCCCACAGCACTCAACTGTTTCTCCACTTGTTTAGACATCTCTCTCTCTCTCTCTCTCTCTCATGACTACTGTTTTGGGTTGCGATGAATTGTCGGCATTCATAATGTATAACAATTGTTTTGACGTGTAATCTATGGCTGCGCATGGATTGGTTTGATTGATCCAATCCTTTGGCCTCAGTTTCGAGACCAGAGTTTGCCGAAGAAAATTGTTGGTGTTTTTCTGGTGAACACGTCTTTCGTATTCAATTCATGGCTGAATGCCTTTCGATGTGGTCTACAGTAAAGGCTCTCTCTCTCTCTCTCTCCCTCTCTCTCTCCAAACTTATCGATCCATTCAAAGCCAGAACTTTTAGTTTTAAAAAATAAAATATAAATAATTTAACATTTAATGGAAATGTTCACAAAACCCGAAAGCGTATAAATAACTGCAACGAAATGCGTGAAAAAATAAGACATGTTTGGCTTAATCAACAAAAAACACACATTAAATGTGTTGCGAAATGAATGAAAACACATGAGAATAATATGTAAAAATTTATTTCATATCATAAAAACACAAACATTACAAACAATTAAGACCTGATGTCGGGTTTTCTTCACGTCTATTGTTTTGGGAGATTATGTTATATAATAAACACATTTATCTATAAGACAAGTGACGCAAATAACATATAGTAAATGTTTCGCAATTTTTGAATATTTAATGTTAATATAAATTAAAGTATAAAATATAAAAGTAAAGGAAATTCTATAAATAAGATTTCCATTCATCAAAATGTGCATAAAATATAATTACCATAATAATAAAAAAGGATAAATAGGGTCTATTTATCCTACCATTTGACAAACAAGTTATGCAATCATAAATTTAATGACTATTTTTAAGTCACAATGAATGGTAACAAAAATCAAACATTAGCTTAATTAACCTAGCTCAAATTTAAACAGCATATAAAACTTATAAACAATGTGATAACTCACCAAATACTGAGATAACAAGTCGTGCGCTCATTATNTTTGACAAACAAGTTATGCAATCATAAATTTAATGACTATTTTTAAGTCACAATGAATGGTAACAAAAATCAAACATTAGCTTAATTAACCTAGCTCAAATTTAAACAGCATATAAAACTTATAAACAATGTGATAACTCACCAAATACTGAGATAACAAGTCGTGCGCTCATTATTAACAGAAATAACATTTTGCTTTCGATGTGATTAATCTTATTTAATGGTAATAATGAATTATTAACGCATATATCTTCGATAACTTATTCAAATAAATCAAAATATTTCATATACTTTCTTATAAAGAATTTGTTTGAAAATAATTCTATATTAAAGCATTGAATTCACATTTGGAACAGATTTATAAAATGATTTAAACTAGATTATTTAATTTAGTAATAGTAATTGTGATAAAATTAAAATTGTCATTGAATTTACAAGTCATATACTGTATGAGACCAAAGGTGACTGAAACGCCGCAAATACTCAATGCATTTGCCAACCGATTCTGTGCTTACATTACATTAAATGCAATCTCTATTACAGTGAAAGCGCATGACTTCAAGAATTACTGTAATGTTTGTCTTTTGCTGTATTTGTTCACAAATTTCATCAAATAAGTGAAATTGTTTTACATATACAATTTATGTAAACCTCACAGAAACATAAAATATTATTGAAATACATAATTAAATAATGACATTTTTGTTTTAAATTATTTAGCAAATTAACTGAAATGTATAACATTTATTTGTGTACTTAAAATTAAACCTATCTGGTTTTCTTAAATTAAATAAACTTACTTCTAAGCCATAACAATAAAAATATAATTTTGTAATATTCTCGTGTTTTACACATTATTATCTAATATAATAGCACAGATATAATAGTAAATATTTCCCAAAAGCTCATGACATAATAAATAAGTCAATTTTAAATTAAATTTATAAAATCGGTTATATTTGAGGCTAACATTAGTTGAAGTGTTAACATCTTTGACGTGAATAGAAAATAAGCAAATCTAAAATGTCGTCTAAAATTATTTTCACGATTGCATTGATGTATATCTCAAACAGTTTTAGTATAAATTCGATTTGCGAGCAAAACTATGTGAATAATATGTATACAAAAGTGATCAATAATCCGGACAACGATAAAACGGAAACAGTGATCACAATAGTGAGGGGCGAACACCAATTCCTATGGAATCTAAACATCGGCGACAACTATACAGGAGTGGGAGAGCCGGCACACGTCGATCAACACCAAGGGTTTCAGATACTGACCAGAGTTGAGCTGTTGGAAGTGTTCAATTGTAATGACAGTGAATGCGATCAAATGTACTCAAAAATCATCACTTTTTATCGTAATAACCGTAACAACAACTACATGTATAACTATACGGATCTGACCGAACAGAACACTGAGATAATTCCTCTGTCTATGCCTAATAACATTCATGTGACCGGAGATCCCACCGAAGACTACGAGTACAACATTTGGCCAAAGGATTGGATCAATCAAACCAATCCATGCGTAGCCATAGATTACACGTCAAAACAATTGTTATACATTATGAATGCCGACAATTCATCGCAACCCAAAACAGTAGTCATGAGAGTGTCTAACAATCCTTTCAATCGGACGAACGTAAGCCGTGAAGAGCACGACATTGGTGTCCATTTCGTGGGCTTCTTCAACATCGATAGATATAATCATACGGCAAATCTAGTGGTGGGCTATATTTATGGTGTCACTTATGATCGGCAAACAAACACTTCCTATGTATATGAATACAGTACGAATACACGACAGTTTGAACACTCAGTATGTGATAATTTACTGAATTGCCTTTTTTGCAAATAATTGGATTGATTTTCTTAAAGGGAATGGATTTCAAACGCTTTATGAAATGTCCGAAAGATGAGACCAATTCTCTAATTGTTATTATAATCTTTCTGGTGATTGTGGCCGTTATGGTAGTGTCTTGTATAGCGTTTATGGCGATAGTGATAATTATATTGCAAACAAACTCCTCAAATAAAAAACAAACAAGTTCGTATTAATTAATTAGCATTATATTGTATTTTTTAAATACAAAAATTAAATTAATTAAACAAATTTCTAATGAAGGAGATTATTCGGATGAGACCAAGAGTCGCGCCACAGATCTATCAACTGCTGTCAAAACTGTGCAAACAATGCATTCAGAGACCGGTGAGCACTTCACTCAAAGGAGTATAACCACTAAGCAGTAACATCTCATTGACCAACAAATTTACAAACATTCATTATATTATCTAAGAATTAAATATTTAACAATTTCTGGCAAATAATATTTTTAGTTTAATCTATTTTAATGTTCACATTTTAAATATGAAAATAAATTTCCATTTGTACTTTTCTTTGTATTTAAAAAATTAATTTGCATTTTTGCTTGTTTTGATATAAGTCTGCATTAAAAAAATTATAATTACAAATCATTTAACAAATTACAATTTACAAATTATTTCTACTTCAAGCATTTTAATTAATAACTTGAGCTTAAAATTCAAAGACAACATTAAAATTCAGAAAACATACACAACGAGAACCGAGTCTACAGTTAATACATGTATAAAGAGATGAGAAAAGATTTAAGAAAAATTAAACCCAATTATCTTCGAGTGAGTCTTTGGCACACAATTAATCGTATTTTATTTTTCAATGGGTTTAAAAAAAATAAATTTTGTCTCAAATCTTTATAAATCGCTTCTATTCTAAAAGCAAAAAAGTAAATAGACTTTTGGGTTAAGTTTTTTCATTCACTGCAAAATTTAAGCTAAAAATAACATATTTTCACTCTTTATTAGATTAGATTTTTATTAACAAATTTATACAATATTAAAAATATAAATTACCTTCAAAATAATGAAAATAAATAACATAAAGTGTGTTTTATAACACGTTATTGTTATAAAGTTGGTAATTTATTTCTATTAATATGAGATTTTTGATGAGATTTTACAGCAGAAGTTATTTTCATAATAACATCCGCGAGTCGTAAACAATGCTATATTTCATATAAATCTAACGCTGTATATAAAAAAAAGTGAGACCAAAATAAATATATATAAAAGTGAAAGTTTACCAAAAGATTTATCATAAGAAATGTGTGAAAAATATAGTAAAAAGAGATTATAAGTTAACTGTATTTCTCGAGTCAATGGATCCAAACATAGACTGAGGAATACATATAGGGATTGGATTGAAAGCGTGACATGAGTTAGACTCTAACTGTTAGAGTATTGGATTTCTCATTATATTCCTGCACTCATATCAACGGACTCTCTCTCTCTCTCTCTCTCTCTCTCTCTCTCTCTTGGAAAGGCATTTATGCGTTACATTGTTTATGGGATTCTCGTCTCTCGTTATAATGACTTCAACGCAATCCATGTCTTAATCTATCGGAGCTGACGGCGCGGCCAACGAAATAAAATACACAAAAAACAATAGACAAACCATTTCGATGGCTATTACACTACCGTTCACTTTGTATGAAAATAACAATTATTTTCTTTTGCCGGACAATCATTTACTTTACAAAAAAATATAATTGTTTTTGTAATCCGTTTGTTTTGCTTATTTTGCTTTTGATAAGGAATTTGTAAAATTTTATGGGAAATGTGGCATTTCTATTAAATTTTGTTTAAAATTCTATACGTTTTTAGATTCAATTTTGTTAATTCAATTCAATTTTGAATTTTTAAATTAAATTCACTCTTCACTCCATTTACTGACACAATATTCATTGAATTTGTGTGTTTTTACCACAATTTTTTTTGTTTAACTTCTGGCGCTGACATTAATGTAAATCAATTGCCTCCCAATGTATGCTATTTTGTCATTCAATTCAATTACGAGACAACACTTTCTCTGTGAATAATTTTACACAATTGTCAAACATTACTGAATGTAAGGAACGGAATGATAAATAGTGATCATTAAAAGCGATCATAAAATTTTTAAATAATTTAACGAAAACATACAGTAATTCTCATTACATATTATTATAAAAATAACTTAAACATTATCATTAATTAAAGTAACATTTTAGCAAAACAAAAGGTAATTATTATAAAAGACGAAAGTAATTAATATTAACTTAAAATATAAAAACTACTTAAATTATAGTTAGATTATGAATACACTGACAATGATTTATTGACATAAGCGTTGAAAATACCTTTTGATTCTCTCTCTCTCTCTCTCTCTCTCTCTCCAAACTTATCGATCCATTCAAAGCCAGAACTTTTAGTTTTAAAAAATAAAATTGAGATAACCAACTCATATAATTAATTTACAGATAATAATACCATTCATTTTTATTAATAATATTAATATTGCAATAATAATTCCACAATACTGTATACTCTCTCTCTCTCTCTCTCTCTCTCTCTCTCCACTCACTCACTATAATATACTCTATAATTCTTTAAAACTTGTTTTTGTGTTACTTAAGGCTTAAGTGCATAGAGAACACGATTCTCTATGGGATTCTTTGCTGGCGTTCGGCCTTCAATACAATAACACTTTGTGTTGTTATCTCTGTCTCGTCTGTAATATCAATACATAAAACTGCTTTTATAACACCGTTTTTATGTTTAACTAAAGTTACTTTTTTATTGAAAGAAATTCGCCGGAAGTGCACTAAAACGGATGCTTTCAGGAAATACATGATAACAATAATATCGTAACGAATTCATAGACATATAAAAATATTTTTATCTCTCTTTTCATTCAATCTTTTTTTGCGAAAAAACTTTTTTATTGTCCGTATTATTAATGAATTGAATAGAGTTAGTGTTAAAACTGATTATTTCTTTTGCAATCAGTAAATAGCTAAAAAATCAATGTTTGTATAAATTGATATTTTGTCGACTAAAATACCACTTTATTTTGCGATTTTATGATTCGTATTACAGAATATTGCAAAAATTCATATATAATCGTAAAACACGACATTTTATACCATATAATATCACATTTAACTGTAAATTATTGTTTTAGTCAACGATTATTTCTTATCTCTCTCTCTCTCTCTCTCTCTCTCTCTCT